AGCGCCCTAAAATTGTTGAAGAAAACCCAAGAATCGCATGGAGCAAAGTATGGAATAATATCAACAGCAAACATCTTACATCGGCTGAGAGATCCACATTCTTCCTGTTGGTCAACCGGAAAATACCTCATGCAGACTTACTGCACCGCACTAACCGACAAGACAGTCCTATGTGCCAGTTCTGTCCAAACGTTCCTGAGGATTTAGAACATAAATTTTCCAGTTGTGTTCATGTTCGAGATTTATGGATCTTTCTTCGTCTGAAATTGGAGACAATCTTAGATAAAAGAGTAGGATTTAGGGATTTCTTGATTCCTGAATTAATTAATATTCGAAGAAGTAGTAGGAGAAAGGCTCTAAAATTGTTTATATGTTACGTAAACTTTGTGTTAGATGCCGAAAATGTTTTTTCTGTTCAAGCTCTAGACTTTGTTTTAAATTGTGAAAATGTAAACGTGTAAACTGTGTTTCAAACAAGTGTAATAAATGTGTTAAAAAAAAAAAAATCATTAAGCAGCAGTGGCACCTTTAGAAGTTCAAAGTCATTTTGATTAAGAAGCTGTTGCGCCTTTAGAAGCTCACAATCATTTTGATTAAGAAGCTGCTGCGCTTTCAGAAGCTCAACATAATTTTGATTAAGAACCTGTTGCATCTGTGGAAGCTCCAAATAATTTTGACTAAGCAGTAGCTATACTATTATGAGCTCCAAATTATTTTGATTAAGAAGTTGTTGCGCATTTAGAAGCTCAAAATCATTTTGACTAAGCATCCATTGCACCTTTAGAAGCTCAATATCATTTTGATTAAGAAGCTGTTGCGCTTTCAGAAGCTCAACATAATTTTGATTAAGAAGTTGGTGAACCTTTAGCAGCTCAAAATAATTTCGATTAAGCAGTTGTTATACTATTAGGAGCTCAAAATCATTTTGGTTAAGAAGTTGGTGAACCATTATAAGTTCAAAATAATTTCGATTAAGCAGTTGTTATACTATAAAGAGCTCAAAATAATGTTGATTTAGAAGTTGGTGTGCTTTAGAAGCTCAAAATCATTTTGATTAAGAACCTGTTGCATATGTAGATGCTCAAAATCATTTTGAATAAGCAGCCGTTGCACCTTTAGAAGCTCAAAATCATTTTGATTAAGAAGCTGTTGCGCTTTCAGAAGCTCAACATAATTTTGATTAAGAAGTTGGTGCACATTTAGAAGCTCAAAATAATTTCGATTATGCAGTTGTTATACTATTAGGAGCTCAAAATCATTTTGTTTAAGAAGTTGGTGAACCATTACAAGTTCAAAATAATTTCGATTAAGCAGTTGTTATACTATAAGGAGCTCAAAATAATTTTGATTTAGAAGTTGGTGTGCTTTAGAAGCTCAAAATAATTTTGATTAAGAACCTGTTGCATATGTAGATGCTCAAAATCATCTTGAATAAGCAGCCGTTGCACCTTTAGAAGCTCAAAATCATTTTGATTAAGAAGCTTTTGCGCTTTCAGAAGCTCAACATAATTTTGATTAAGAAGTTGGTGAACCTTTAGAAGCTTAAAATAAATTTGATTAAGCAGTTGTTATACTATTAGCAGCTCAAAACCATTTTGATTAAGAAGTTGGTGAACCATTACAAGTTCAAAATAATTTCTACTAAGCAGTTGTTATACTATTAGGAGCTCAAAATCATTTTGACGAAGCAGCCGTTGCGCTCAAGATCATTTTAATTATGAAGCTGTTGCGCCTTTAGAAGCAGAAAATTTGTTTTAATTAAGAAGTTTCTCTTTTGGAAGCTCAAAATAATTTTAATTAACCAGCAGTTACGCCTTTAGAACTTCAAAATAATTTTGATTAAGACGTTGTTGCACTTTTAGGAGCCTAATATTCTGTCATTTCTTGTGACGGAGAAGATAGGCGTTACCGGAATTGGATATTGCGATGGTTTTTTGCTCCAAACTGTTTGAAATGCTGTTTTCAGTTCCAATTTACAGAATGGCATTCCGATAAGCAATCAAGACCGATAAAAAAAGATACATGACAGCTACCAGTAGCCTGCGAATTACTCCGCTAAAAACGCAACATTAACAATGTGACATAGATAATGTTGATGTAATTGCTGGTGAAAGAACCTACATAACTAAATAGGTTTATTAACATTGTATGGACCTGTTAATGCATTTGCTTTCGCACCGCCAGATTGATTCTAAATTGTCTAATTTGACTTGTCAATGTCAATCAAATAAAACAATTTTACCACGACTTCAAGCACGCACCTTAATGGCAAAAGTAACCTAAGCCTACATTCCGAAAGCACAAATGCATCCAATTTGTATGCCACACTGAACAGTCCGTTCCATAGGCTAACTACATACAAGCAATTCCAGGCCAAAAAGCGAAAAAAAAATTTATTCAACCTTCTCCGATTTGAAAGAAATTTTGCATAATTTTTTGCTAATCATTTAAATTTGAGCGGAAATTCGACTATTTTGAGTCCTGCGAAAAAGTCAAAATAGCGGATTAAATTATGTTCAAAAAATTATAGATCGCGGACGTAACAGTGGACATTAGGGTGGGTCTAATTTGTATGGTGGATCACAACCCTCTGTGTCCCACTGCTCTTCCGATGTGTATTGTGGTCCCCAACAACGGTGGCAAATTTGAACGAATTTGTTTATGATCTGGATTTGCGAGAGAATTTTAAATTTTGTATGGGATAATTTATGGGAAACGAAACGAACCTATTCTTTTGCTTGCCAAAAATTCAAATATTTCACAAATTTAATCACATCTCGAAAATAAATTTGGAAAACTATACAGAACAACTTTGTCGAAGACTACGGATCGATCAGACTTTGAAAAAAAAAAGAAGTTATTATTGTATTAATTTAGACCTATTGCTCCGAGTATACCTACAGGCGTCTATATGACCTTGTAGGTACCGTAAGTGGGGGTGGCAATGGGCCAAAAAATCAAAACTTGTCGTTCCCTACCCTGTTATAACATTCACATTTTAGCAAGAAAAACAAATTTTAAGCGTGTGAATATATTCATCAACGATATATTAACGACTAACATGGGAATGGTTGATTTTACTAAAATTTCATAAAAACTAGACCAATGTAAAACCTTATGGGGGTGACATTGGGCCAAAACATTAATTTGGTTAAAATATCCTAAAATATGCAAATGTAACGTAGCGATTAGGAGTACACTTGCCTATGATCACAATGTACTTCGTATGTATGGCTAAAGATCCCGTGTAACCCTTATCTATCCATATAAAAATGTATTCAAACTTTTGTTTGCCTGTGGAAATTTTTAAAAACGTATTTTTGCTACTATTTATGGTATTTTACTTTACAGCACTATTTAAATAAAACAACTGGTTAATGTTATCTACACTCTACTACAGAAGTTCAAGGAACATTTTCTAGTAATCAGTTCTGTATATTCAAGATATCGGCATCAATAAACATTTCTCAATGGTGGCACAATGTCACCCTGACTTACGGTACGTTTGGAACTCTTGACCTAAAGTGAAAGATTAGTAACTTTTTTACAAAGATCAAATCAATTCGCAGTCTTCGACAAAGATGTTGTCTATAGTATATTCTCAATCTAAGCCCGAGATTTGACGAAATTTCAGCAATATTTGGATTTAAGGTAAGCAATTGAATAAGATCGTATCACAAACAATATTCCACACAAAATTTTAAAATTCTCCAGCGAATCGAGATTATAACGAAATTTGTTCAAATTTTGCACAGCTGTTGGGGACCTCAATACGCGAGAGAAGACCTTGCTTACAAAAGTTGCTGATACGCCCTTATTCCAGCTCTATCTATAATGATGCAAAGTTTCACGTAAATCGGATAAGGTCTTGCCGGATCGATTCGTCATTTGGCGTGGAATTACTCATACGTATCAGGACACCCCACGCATACTGATCACTTCCAAAGAAAGATTCCATCAATTGAATGTAAAATGTTGTAACCGAACGTGACAAACCGGTTTGCTGGACCATCCATGGACTAACCACTGCTGCGATTTTTTAGCGCGCGCAATAGCACAAACAACCCAGTAAAAATGCACGCCATGTTACGTCGTAACAACAACAACCTCCTACTCCTATTCGATCTCGCCGATCCACGAATCACAAGTCACTAGCCATATGTAGATCCATCACTTTCACTCTTATTTTTCGGCAATGCGCGGTTTGTTTACACACTGCCTGGCCGATGCGACGGTCACGTCCGCAGGTGGAGTGCGCGTGATGCAAATCAGAAGTTATTGTAAAATTTTCGAAAATATTTTGGCCTATGGGTCGTGTTCCCACAAATATTATAACGGACGGTTGTAAACAAAGCAAGTACCTGTTTTCTACATAATTCAAAAACTCCCAGCGGAACCTTACGTAAGCCGAGCAAGAAGTACCTCCGAACCGATTTCGATTGAATTCACGTTGAGCAGGAAATTAACAAAAATGTAGTTCAAGCATACTTTGGGGGGGCAGAAACCGGCAGTGGCAATGGTTCGCCGATAAACGAACTTGATTTTCCTGCGTCTCTTCTGAACTACGGCATCGATTTGCAGTACCCAATATAGAGGTTGGTAGTGACGTACGAACGTAATCTACGACGAACCCGCAAGCCATGTGGGAAAATTTGAAATGGAAAATCGTTACGCGAAGTACCTGCTATAGGCTGGAAACTGGTCCGCCACAAACTGGCCATCATTGATGCGAAACGGAAAAGAAGCAAAAATGCAATATAATAAGTCATACGTGCTTCCCTTCAATTTATGGCGATAATTCGCGCAAATATAATGGCGTGTTAAGAGCGTGGTGCAAGCTTGACGCGCGAGGGTACTTTTGGTGGATTACATTTGACTGATTTATTTCTTATTATAAGCCTAGGATGGTCAAATTAAGACAATAGATTCAAGAGGCAAAAGAGAATAAGATTGGATTTGATTGCTAGCTCACATATGATCTTAATAGACAATTGAGTTACCTGTTCTGACTGGCCAATCTCAATGGAATTTCCTGTAGAGGCAGCCATCCTGATGCAGGATTTCTTCCTTGGACACACTTTCTATAGATCTTTCAAACAAAACCGGTTATCTTGCACTCACTATCGTTCTCGGTTTCGGTGCAATTGTCTTCCCAAATGCAATTTTTCACATCTCACCCGGAGCACCACTTCAACACAACATCCTTACACTCGTTTATCACTCCTGGTTGTTGTTGTTGTTGTTGTTGCTGCCAACTGCTACAAAATGCAATGCAAAAAGTGGTAGTATGTAAAACAATCCAACGACATCGCTTTCTTGTTCACAAGTGTTCTTTCTAATAACGAACAAATAACAAACTGCTGCCCCAAGGCTCTGTCATCAGCGTTGAGCACGTGGAATTTCAGCACTCTGTACCTGCTGCTGCCTACCGCTGACTGCTGCTACTAAACGACTGAAACCTTAGTGCCGTAATACCTATCGCTCAGAGAGATTTACCAGCTGAGTAAACTGCAACGCGTCATAAAGTGTGAGCACGAGTTTTTGTCGGAGGGAAGGGCAGTGGTTCGTGTGACATTCCCTCGCAATGAGACAAATTTTTCCGCCACAGCATCTTGATGTATTGACGATGGAGGAAGAACGATACGACGGACGATAACAACGACGGCGACGATTAAACACTTCCGGCGCACATCAGCTTCCGGTTTCGGCGGATTCGGTAAAAGACCATTATGGCTTCAGTTGGTTGAATTTTAATCAATTTTAATTACTCGTTCAAGCAATTTATAGTTTAAAATTTTCGGGCATACATTTGAGCACAAAACACTTCCACAGTTGTTAGCGGAGATATAGAGAGCTTTCAAACTTCACTCTATTTACGCTATATAAAAACAGTCACCGAAAAATGTCAAAGTTCTGTGTGCTGCAAACTAAATACTGACCAGAGACTTGGGTCGCCAAAAGCTCTTTGTGTCCACCGAGTCTTAAAGTTCAGGTCACTTAAGCCGGGCGAGGCTTTGTAATGTGCTCCCGAGATCGATGACAAATGGTCGAAAGCCGAAAGGTTGAAGAACAAAAGCTGTCCTTCGATCTTCGAACGACCGAATGGACAAAAAATTGAATGTACAAAGGGTCGAAATCGACAAAAGTTCGAATGGACAAAAAGTCGAAATGGACAAAAGGTTGAATGTAAAGGGGTCGAAATGGAGAAAAGGTTGAACAGACAATAGATCGAATAGAATTTAAAGAACCAAAGAGTCGAATGAACAAAAGGTCAAAATAAACAAAAGGACGAATGGACAACAATTCGAAAGAAGTCTAACGCATTTCAAGCTGGAGTGTTCAGTAGCATTTATCTGGAAAAGAACTACTCATGTTACAAAGAAGGAGTTCCAACTAACAATTTTGGCTGCAGATAATTTTGATAAATATGCCTCATGCAGCTAATTTTTGCTTGTATAAGCTGGTCGGCAGCTAAAATTGTTAAATTGTATAACAATATAAGCTAAAATAAAATTGTAAAATTGGGCAACTCTAAGTGAGAGGAATAACTTTTGAGCATTTGAAAGATTACAGATATTTAACACTCCAACTCAGTGTTCACTCAGCTGTCGACAAAAGCAGGCCACTCTCGATGTGTGCCACGCAATCGTCAGTTTTCTCGGCAGCCACCATTGTGTGGTCCTCCTCATTGTTCTTCATCAGCAGTTCTTTCGGTCGATGCGTCGTCGACTTTGGAAAGCAACCGTTTAGTGATGAGTGCTGACCACGTTTTGCGTCAATTTCTACAATGGAAGCGCTCTGACCACCGTTGGCATAACTGCCATACAATGAAACCACTGGAAGCGGCTCCAGTTTATTGTGTTGTACCTTTTGACTATAGTTTTAACACAGACAAACAGACATAACACTCACAATCACATTCATCGCAATAATGTTTTAGTTGGGAATGTGCTTGCATTTGTCATGATGGCGCCACTGAAGCATTGAGCAAGCCACCACATTTCGAACTTATCAGTGATGCCAGTTCTTTTTCACGTCTAGTTAGTAGGTGTCAGCTCTTGAACATGATAAGTGGTCAACGCATCCCACTGGAGACACATACCACATCTGACAAATACAGAAAAAAAACAGAATACAGAAAGAATTCGAGAACAAATCATGTTGATGACTAACATTCTATCAACATTTACCCCTTTTACAAGTTATTGATGTTCAATACTTCACCATGAATTTCATTGATAGATACTTATTATATTTTTTGCTGTACACACATTAAAGTGATGAGCAGTGGTAGAAAGGGCATAAATTAGTGATGCATTACCTCTTTTAAACACTTGTTTCCAGCAAAAGAAAAAGCACACTAAACAAACAAAACAAATCCCTAAAAAAAGTCTTAGCTTCTGTTATTTTTTCCTAAGGATCCTTTTTTCTGCAGAATTCAATCAATTCTATAGATCTACGGAAAATTTAGTAGAACCGACATCACTGACTTCCATCTGTTTTGTTTTAATTCAACACAGCTGACGCGTTGACAGAACGAGGGAAAAGCAACTGGTGAAAAAATGGCTTGAATGAGGGATGCTCTGGTTGCACATCAATGCTTGGGAATGTGGATGATAGATGGTGCTAGCAACAATCAATACGAAACCAACGATTTTAAATTGGCTCACCACTTTAGTAGCCTATTGGTCCCAAGCAAACGATTAACGTACCCTATTCTAGTTGAAATTCTATTACTACACTATGTTTGTTTTGATTCGCTATGAAAGTTTGACAGATAACATCAGGGGTGTGTGGATTCATGCAGAACATGCAGGGGTGAGTGAAATAGCTTGGGACTGCTTGGAACCGTTGTTCTGGTACTGAGTGAACCAAAAATAATAATGATTTTCTTCGGGACCCAGTGGTCTTAGAGTTACCTCTATGGTGCTAGTGTGCATGCAAAATACGCTTGACGATATTTTTTGAAGAATTTTCTTCTAAGAGTTATGTCTGTTAGTCTGTGGTTTTAGGATGTATTGTATAGTGACCAAGAATCCTCGGCTCTATAAAGTTAATTCGTTTGAGCTTTATCAAATAAATTAATAAACAACACTCCAACTAAAAGGAGTGTTAAATATCTTTAACCTGTCAAAGAACTGCTCATGTCATAAAGATGGAGTCAACGCCACGATTGAGAAATTACTTCCGATCATTTCAATTGAATTTTTGAATAGCTTCTATCTGCTAAACAACTGTTCATGTTTTAAAGAAGGAGTTACCTTCAGGAGAGATAAATGACTTCTAATCATTTCAGTTAGGTTACTCAAAGTATAAGTTTGATATACTTGCAATACTTAGCTTATTGCCTTTTCAACATATGTAAAGTCAACTCTCCATAACTCTATATTGAAAGGACCATCGAGTTATAGAACTATCGACTTATAGAATTACCAAACAAAAAATTGTTTACCGTCTATAATTTCAAGAATAATACCGAAATACTCCATTTACTGAAACATTTAGCTTCATTCACTCATTTAAATTCAAAAAATGTTTCAAGGATCCATTTATGGAAATTGTGATTTATTTATAATATTAAGCTAAAATACACAAAACACGCAATAGGACTGCCAGTTATTGCAATTTAATTTGTCAAGATATGAAAGGTTCTCGTCATTTCTGGATGTCGTACTATCACCATGAGGGTGTCCGGCCATTAGGCCGAATGGTCATTAACCCAGACTTAAATCATTTTTGATGAGCTTCCTTACACAGTAGTTATGTTTTGAAGATTTTAAATACTTCGATATTTGTTCTGAATGTTTGTGCCTTCCAGAATCTTGGAAATTTCTCCATGTTCGGAATGTTTTAAAATAAACTACTTGAACCTCGAGGATTTTGATTAATCTAAGTTCATAGCATTTTCTAAAAATAAAATCTCAAAATTTATTCATTTGTTATTTTTTTTCCAAATCCTGGATCGTCATTTTTCTTTTTTGCTCAGGACTCCCATAAATTCTTTGAAATGCTCCTCACAATTTCTTCAGAACTCTCATTTGCATTCTCATTATCTAAAAACTAAGGGAACATAATTACAATTTCCTTTAAATGTTCCTTGAAATCTTTTTGGAATCATCCGCGGAATTCAATTCTCAGTACAAAATCTTTTGGAATTATTCTCGGAATTTCCAATGAATTCATTTCAGAAAGCCCTTTGAATTTAACTCCTGCCCTTGGAAGTCACCTCACTTTAAAAGTTTTCTAAGAATTCTCTTGCAGTACAGTAACAAATTCCATAGATTTCGTATTAAAAATTATTTGGCATTCAAGTCAGCACGCCCGTAACGTGGGTAGATCACCTTTTCGTGGTACGTTTTTTCAGTAATCAGGATTTTTCAGTAATCAAAGGAACACATCTTAGTCCTTGTTACTTGTTATGCCTTTTTGATGGTGATAAGTCCTCGGGTTGCCTGGACCAATGATGATCTTGAAACAATGAAAAATTAGTTAGTTAAGCTTCACCTATGTGATTCCTAATCTTCTAGTCGTTGTTCCCTAGTTTGAAGTGGTTAAGACTAGGGTTCTGATGCATAGTCATTATCGATGTCATTACTTAATTTTATTGCTAAGGAATCAGATTTTGGCGGGAGCTTTCGAATACTTCATCATTTCTCAATAGTGATGGAGTAATACGACATGCACTAAACTAAGGACACGGGATATACTACAATAGATCAAATAACTGGTCGCAGTGGTTTTAGGTCCCGAACAGAGGAAAAAAATCAGCACTCTCCTGGAATTCTTTACCGAGTTCATTTGAAGTTTTTCTGAAATTACTTTCAGATCTAATTGTCATCCTCCTCCCGAAGTATTCCCACAAAAAAAAATGCTCCGGAATCTTTTTCTTCCTGAAACTTCTTTAAATTATGTTCAGAATTCCTGTAGAATTCTTCTTCGAATTTCCTTGGAGTCTTCTTCAGAATACCTTACGAATTAACCTCAGAAATTCGTAAGCATTTTTATTAAAAAAAAATTCAAATCCTACTCAGGATTTACTTGGAATACTACTCAGAACTACCTTGGTATTCCGGTTTTACGTAGAATCTGGAGTTCATCAGGACTACATTGAAAGTAGATTGCACTTGATATTTTCCTCACAGTTCATCCCAGAACTCCCTTGGAAACTATCATCCTCAATCTTAATATTTTAGACATGTGTGATCTTGTAAAGTATCTAACATATAGAGCTTTGAAAATTGCTCGAACTATAATTATTATTAGGTCAAGAATTTCTAAAAAAATCTTATTTAAGATTTCTGAAAAATATCCATATTCCAAATCCTGAAATAAAAAAAAAAGCTCCGAACTTGTTTAAATTTATTTTGTTACTGAAGATAAATCTGTTCAGAATCTATTAAGTTCAATGAGTGAAAAAAATATCGAGGAAAATTAAATGTTTGCAAAAT